TCCAACAATGAAGCATGGTGATGGCAGCATCATGCTGTGGGGGTGCTTTTCAGCAGCAGGGACTGGGAGACTGGTCAGGGTTGAGGGAAAACTAAATGGAGCAAAGAACAGGGATATCCTCAATAAAAATCTGTTCCACAGTGCTCAGAACCTCAGACTGTTCACTTTCCAACATGACAACGATCCTAAGCACACAGCCAAGACAACACAGGAGTGGCTTAGAGACAATTCTGTGAATGTCCTAGAGAGGCCTGACTTGACCCCTACTGAACATCTCTGGCTGTCCATCAATGGTTGCCATCCAATCTGACTGAGCTTGAGAGGTTTTGCAAGGTAGAATGGCAGAAAATCCCCCAATCCAGGTGTGAAAAGTTTGTCGTGTCATACCCCAAAAGACTCAAGCTTATAATTGCTGCCAAAGTTGCTTCAACAAAGTACTGAGTGAAGGGTCTGAATACTTATGCCAATGTGATATTTCAGTTTTTTTCTTTTTAAGAAATTTACAGACATTTCTAAAGTTCGGTTTTCAGATTGTCATTATGGGATACTGAGTGTAGATTAATGGGAAAAATGAGTTTCAACAATTGTAGAATCAGGCTACAGCATGTCAAAATTGACAATAGTGAAGGGGGGTCTGAATATTTCTGAATATTGTTTATACATAGAAAACATACAGACATAATTTCAAGCAAAGATTAGGCATCCTAATCAATTGAATGATTCAAGCAATCCATAATGCTGCTATAATCTTTCCATGGTCCAACTTAAATGCCGTTCTGAAGAATTATTTTCAGTTATTCTGAAAATTAAAAAATCATATTGATGTGCAGTTGTTTATTAATTCAAAATAAGAAAATAATTAGTGGCAGGTATATGTTTGAAATAAGATGTTTTACAGAAATAGACAGTCCCTTTACTATCTTGTAGTCAGTGAAGAAATCAACACTGAAATTTCATTGGATATTTCAGCAGGACCAGGGCTTTTTTTGTCATAGAACACCCAGAATGGAGTTCCAGCACCTTTTTTGAATGGAACCTTGTAGGGTAGGCAAGGCGCGTTGTATGATGTGTATGAGTTCCGGCACCCTTTTTTTTTTTTTTTTTTTTACAAAATAAAGCATCGAGCAGGACAACAACCTGAAATATACCTCCAAATCAATCATGAAGTACATATAGGAAACAATGATGAGGAATTTGGAATTTTATTGACTGGAATATTATTGAATGATCCTGAGAAAACTGATCATTTTAAAAAGTTTACAACTATTATATTTACTGCTGAATTGTAAACTTTTCTTGCCTGATGGTAAGTTTTTATTGCCCTGAGCTGCAATTATCATTCTTTGTTTTGTAGATTACAATAGTCACAGACTGCAATATTTTTTACAATATTTTTAAATCTTTAAATAATTTTAAATATTTTGTGGAATTTTGTAGACTACTTTGTATTATCTTTTTATACTATATATATATTTGTATAATCATTTTTATATACTAACAACAAGCTGGCATTTTATTTTTTTACTCTCAGCTGAGATACTTTTTTTTCTTTTAAACTAAGATTTTGTTTTACTTTACAAATTATATTCATCTGTCATTTTCAATACAAACTATATCAAGAGGGAAATATGAAGATTAGCCCTAGGAAGGAACAAAAGGAGAACTTAGAACTTCTAGAACAGTATTTCTCAACCTTGACAATTTTAAGGCATGTGGACCTCAACTCCCAGAATTCCACAGCCAGCATTGCTGGCTGTGGAATTCTGGGAGTTGAAGTCCACATGCCTTAAAATTGTCAAGGTTGAGAAATACTGTTCTAGAACAAAGGCAAACATTTCCTGACAGTATAAACTTTTAACCAGTGGAATAGACTTCAGAAGTTGTGGATGCCTATTGTTGGAGTTTTCTGAGAGGAGTTTGGACAGCCATTTGTCCAAAATGGTATATGTCCCTTCAGCACTGTTACTCTATTATTCTAGAAGATTAACATTTAAGAATAGAAATTTCACTTTAAATTTTCTTTTTTTAAAAAAATCTTCTAAATTTTGGGAACTTTGAAAATAAACTTCTAGAATTTTTACAATTAAAAAAAAATCCTTTTAGTGAGGTGAGAGGCAGCCCACCTGTGAGGTGGTCCAGCAGCCCATCTGAGAGGAGGCCCAGCTGAGGGGTGGCCCAGCTGAAAGACAGCCCAGTATCCCAACTGAAAAGGGATACTGGGAGAAGGAGAAACAGAGAAGTTTAACTAAGTTTTCATTCTCCTTAACAGACATATTCTTAGATAATATTTTAGTCTTATTATTATTTACTTTAAAACCAGAAACTTTCCCATACTGAGTTATAAGTTCCAATAAATGAGCAGCCGCATGGGTCAGTTGTACTAAAGTTAAAACCAAATCATCCGCAAAGGTTCACAATTTATACTCATTCCTATTTAATTTTATTCCCTTAAGTACCATTGACTCTGGATTAACAAAATCTTCATTGTTAAAACAAATAACAATGGAGATAATGGACATCCTTGTCTTGTTCCTTTTTCAATATTAAAAGTCTCTGTCAGTCCCCCATTAATAATAATTTGAGCAGATTGTTGCTGATATATGGCCTTAAGAGCATATAAAAACTTATCACCAAAATGCATTTTCTCTATCAATAAAAATAAAAATTGCCAGTCTAATTGATCAAAAGCTTTCTCCACATCCGAAAATATAAAGGCCACAGGAATCTGATTATTCTTATCCAAATACTCAATTAAATTAAGAATTTGTCTTATATTATATAAATGTAAAAAATATTTTAATTGTTGCTAGAACAAGGCAGTGTCAATGAGGAATAGACAAATCTTTCCACATTCTAAGCAACTTTATTATTATTATTATTATTATTAATAATAATAATAATTTTAGTGTTTCTTTTAATTTCCTGATAATGAAGACCTTTTGTAAAGTTCTTATAAAAATGATCAAATGAAATTCTCATGTGCCTTTCCTACCCAAATTAAATAGGTATAACTGCTTCCAAGTTTGAACAACCCATTGTACGTGTCTGCTATTAAAAAAAAAGACCCAGGTTCATTGAGAACAATGGAATTTGTAGTTTACTGCATACATAGACACCTGACTGGGAAGAGTGACCTTGATATTTTTGCCTGCTAACAAAGGAATTCCAGCTGGCACAAGCATGCTTTTAAAATCAATTTCTTACCCAGAAATCCTAGTTTTACAAAATTGATGCAACTACTATATACTTTGACTGAATGTTGATATAATTCATAAGGCACACAATTAGAAAAACTACCAGTCACTTTATTAAAATTATGCTAATCAACAATATATAAAAACATATGCTAAGGTCTTATGTTCTGGGTAGAATGATATATTTAGTTGTTATAAATAGTTACATACAAAAGACATGTAGACAAGCTAACAGCAGCACTGAACCAAAGAACTAAGGCATCTAAGAAATGTGGAGGACTTTAAATACAATTAAGGAACCAAATGCAAACAAGGTCACATGGTTTATCAAACTGAATCAGCAACCTAATCACCTGCTGCATACTGTCTCATAAGAAGAGATGGAAGTTGAGAGAAGCAATTATATAGGCAGTGGGGGTTTTTTTGTCATAGAACTCACCGGAACAGAGTTCCGGCACCTTTTTTTTAAAGTAACTTTTGAAAATTTGATGTTTGGTCCACATGGACATGAATCTCCCTGTCGAGCGTAGCAGGTCGGTGGAAAAATCATTAAAACGGTGCATGCGGGCTGCTTGTGTGTCAAGTCCAATGCATGCGTACGTCATCTGGCTGCTCGGCTTGTGGCACTGCTTGTCTTGTGATTGGTCATGTGGTCACGCGCTGAGTGCTTACTGTGGGCAACGACCATTATGTTTTGTTACACATGTGTACAGTGATTGTCTACATGCGAAAGGTAAATAAAAGATTAACAAGATGTGAGTTCCGGCACCTTCTTTCTTACAAAAAAAGCACTGTATATAGGTACGAAAATAGAACATAGGTCACGTCTCTAAAGCCAAGGGTTTTCAACTTGGTATCCTGGAGCAGCTATTTGTAAAAATGTTTTACCTTCTAGGTAACATTACTCCCTCACTTTAGCAACATATTTTTTCTATGGAAGAATATTAATGAAATAATAATGAGCACCATATTCATTGGCCAAACAGCTGTTGTTCTCCAAGCCTGAATCTCCAAGGGCCTTCTAAAACTGTGGCTTTTTGTGAAAAGCCAAACAATTCAATGGGGTGTAAAATAGGCTTGGAAACACTCATGCAGCCTGTCAATCATCCCAAATTGTGTACATTTGGTTCTAATTCATATATAAAATACTTTGAAAATACATTTTTCACTTTTTCTAAAAAAAAAAGTCTACTCATTTTTTAGTGGGCAAATATAATCTATTATCTGTTGTAATAACTCCATCCTATTGCCCCCAAAACTGTTTCCCCAGGAACCAGAAAATACCTGGTTTGAAAGATAGTCTGGAGATAGTTTTTTCTTTCAGAACTCATAGGAATGTAGGAAGTCAATACATGTGAATGGAAATACTTTCAAAAATTGCTTTTTAATATTCTTATAGAAATACTGTGAGAATGGTAGGTGAATGTTTCTGTCAATAAAAATGATACAATCTAATGAAAGTTATGTTAATGTTCGACTGGACAGAATGAAAGCTCCAGATGGCACCTCTGGTATGGGACGATAGCAGCAATCTAAGAACTGAACCAGAACATGTCTCAAAAAAGATATCTTTTTCAGGAAGATTAAGAGTATCACTATTCCTTATAGGTGGCTATTCCTTTGTTTGTTTTGGGGCAGCAAAGATTAATACTATAAGTACATGTTGTCCTTTCATAGATAGATACTTTCTATTTTATAAAGCTTTAAATATGGAATCTCTATTCTCCTCCAAATTGTTGCTATGGTGTTGTCTTTTTAATTTATCATGCTATTTCTTTTTATATTTTTAAATATTTTTATTTTTAGGTAAGATTATGAACAAAGAAGAATTTTCTGGCAGAAAGTTTGCTGATTCACTGAAGTCAAGACTAGAGGTGATAAATATTCCATGTTATTTTTCCTTAGTTATTGGGAAGGTACTATTTATCAGAGTAAATATATAATAGTTGGCTAAATATATAATAGTTTCAGAGTGAAGAGGAGTGAATATATAATAGTTGATTAAATATATAATAGTTTCATCAGCCATAATTTCTGAAAGTTTCAAAACACATTTGAAAAACTTTTTAAAAATTATAATGCTAACAGAGATTTTACTGCATGATATTTTGTAGATAAGAATTCACCAATGCTGCAGATAAGAACCTATTATGAATTACAATATTCACTAGGCATAGGTGTTGTCCCCAGTTCGGGTCTGAGCCTGGTGCCAAAGCCAATGAAGAGCACCAGACATGAGGTGCAGGTTTTGTTTCCTTTTATTGTAGCACTCCAAGAAAAGGGGTCCTGGTTAGAAAATGCCTCACAGCCTGGAGGGAAGGAGAGCAGCTTTCAAATTGGTTGAGAGGGGACATGGCAGCTAGCTTCAAATATCTGAAGAGCTGCCACTTTGCACAGGATTCAGACTTTTTCTCAGCTGCCCTAGAGCAGAGGAGTCAAACTGTCAGCCCACAGGCCAGATGCATCACACATAGTCATGCCCACCCCAGCTCCGCAAAGGCAAAAAAACATCATGATACATCACAATACGTCACATGACATGATCAAGTTTGATACCCATGACCTAGAGGATAAGACTAGAACTAATGGGATTAAACTTCAAGGATATTGGTATAGTTTAGAAATTAAAAAGAACACCTTGCAGTAGGAGCTAACAATCAGAGGAATAGGGTACTGCATGGAAGGGATTCTTCCCTTTCAATGGAGGTTTTCAAACAGAGGCTGGATAGATATCTATCAGGGCTTGTATAGTGAACCCTGAACCCTGCAGAGTGCAAGGGATTGATTTCATGATCTCTTAGGGGCCTTCCAACTCTATGATTCTAAGGCAGAACCATTTCTGCTGAAGAGAATAATTTGCACAGTAGGTTGAATAAGAAAAAGGTTCTCTGTGAAATGGATAACATGAAATTTAGTGACAATTCTGTTGAGAGAGATTCATAATTTGAATCATTTTTCTTAAGAATAATAGTTCTTAAGACCAACTGAATTCTTAACTAAGATCAAATTGGGTTATGTGATAGAAGGAACTGCCTGAACTATTTAAAGTCCCACCATCTACCTATGAAGTTTCAAACTGTGATGCTAGGAAGATGGAGGTTCTGCTGCAAATTTATCACCTAAGAATCATGATGTAATACTTCTTGGACAGGAAGACCAAAAGTATAGTACTAAATAATTTGTCACTTTGGAGTTTCATCTGAATCCTCCACATGTTTTTAAAGGTTGTGATAGCAATTCTAATTAGCAGCTTTCAGTGCAAACTTGTGAAAAATCAGCACACAGATCAGCAGATAATAATGAGGATTATAGTTTGTAATTGGCTGTATGAATCTGTCTTAAAAATAGTTCAAGGTCCCTGTTGAGTCCTCAGCGAATGGCAAATAATGCATGAAGCAGTTGGTAGTTCTCAGGAGCCTCTTTATTGGTATACAGCATGCTGGTTACTACACCTACAATGCCCAAGTTCCTCTGCTCCTTTTAAAGGCAATCCCCGGGCCAATTGGCAACATTTGGCGCGCTTGCACCTCGCGCATGCGCGCGAGTGCTGACGACAGCCAGTCTGGTCCCGGGCAGCTTGCAACTGCCCAGGACCGTTGCAACGTCCTGAGCCTGCCTTCACAGGCTCAGGACACAACACCCCTTCCCCCCGAGCTAAAACTTCAACCACATAAATAGTGACATGCGACCTCAACACGAGCGTGGGAGCCACACTAGCTCCATGTACCAAGTTATCAATTTTGGCTTCCATCCCCCAGTGTTCATTATTCCCAACTTGTACAGGAATATCCTCTTGTTAATTTTGCTTTGCTAGCAGAGTTACAAAATCTTCTAGATATATAGGAGATCTTCTAGCTCTCTGTGACCTCCGAATTTCCTGGTACCTCCAAGTACCCCTTGCCCGGGGGAAGCTATATGTTTGTCCCCTTTGTTTGACCCTGGTGGTCCCTGTGGACTGTGCTCCAATGCCTGGCCTGCTTGCTTGCCCACCGGGCTCGTCAGGCCAGGACTTTGTTCTCTACTTAACCTGGTTGTCCTGCCTAGTTGCAGGCTCTCTGGGTTCTCGGTACTGTCCCAAAACTCAGTTGCCCCCTGAGTGATGCCAGAGGTGTTGTAATTGGGATTCGGTTCCTTGACCACCTCCCTATGTGCTTGCCCCTTTCTAGGAGCAGTGGCAGCATTGGGCCAACTAGACGGAATGTGTGCCAGCTCTCTTGCAGGGTGTGAGTTGTTTGGATGCTCCTGGTTATTCTCCCTGACTGGAGTTCTAAATGGTGCTGGTGTGTAGTGATTATGCCCCCGGGGTAACTCCCTGGCTGGAGTAGGCACTGGTGCCTGTGTTCTAGTTAGTCCCCACGAATTCCTGTTTGGAGCACTCGCGGAATCTTGGAATGATAAGTCTTCTTTAGCGAAAAGTCTCTGCTGCAATTCTCTATGTCTCAGTCCACATACAAATCTGTCTCTCAGCCTTTCTTCTAAATCTTTAAACTCGCAGGGTTTAGCGGCTTTTCTCAATGCAGCAATGTACTCTTTAGCTGATTCGCCGGGCCGTTGGTCCCTCTGTTCAAAAGTGTGGTGCCAAGAGGTGACAGACAACTTGGGCTGGAAGTGTTCCTTTAGCAATTTCTTTAAGTCTGTGTAGGTAACAGATTCTAAGGTGCAGGTGCTGCTAGGTTTTCAGCGATCTCAAATGCATCTTGACCGCAAACGCACAGCAGGGTGGCGGCTTTTAAGCTATCTTCTCTCACTTGATTGACCTTAAGATAGTTTTCCACTCTGGCCACGTAAGACTCCCATCTTTCCGGATGCGTGACATCGAATTCGGAAAGTCTACCTATTTTTGCCATCTTTCAGTAGTACAGGAAGGGTCTATCAGCCAGCTTACCCCCAATGCTTGCTGAATTGGCAGGCAGCTGCTGAGTTTAACGCCGTTTCCTGCTGCTCAGGACTCCAGGGTAAGCTTACAACTTGTCTGCAATCGTTGTAAGGCATCCCATCCTCGTCGCCAGTGTTGGGTCCTCAGCAAATGGCAAATAACGCATGAAGCAGTTGGTAATTCTCAGGAGCCTCTTTATTGGTATACAGCATGCTGGTTACTACGCCGAGAACGTCCAAGTTCCTCTGCTCCTTTTAAAGGCAATCCCCGGGCCAATTGGCAACATTTGGCGCACTTGCACCTCGCGCATGCGCGCGAGTGCTGGCGACAGCCAGTCTGGTCCTGAGCAGCTTGCAACTGCCCGGGACCGTTGCAACATCCCGAGCCTGCCTTCACAGGCTCAGGACACAACAGTCCGCTCTTTTCTTGGTACATTCTAAATGTCTTATCTTCTGAATATGTTAATGCTCTACTAAAGTTTTGGGTTGTTTGCTCATTGCAGAATCTATTTTAATGAGAAAAGCCCTTTTTTAAAAAAAGTATAAGGGAAATCTACATAAGAAATCTGCTAGTGGTTACGTCTACTAACCTAAACTTGAATAAGCTTGAGATGGAAGCTGTTATGATATATTTACTTCTAATTGTAGGGTTTCCTGCCACCTAAGTTTCTTCCTTAGTCACATCTTCAACAGCAGAAAGCTTAGTATTTGGCATGTGCTTATATCAAGGTACTGCACAACTCAAAACCTCTCTCTGAGGTAAGCTGGGATGAAACAGAATGATCATCCAGTGAATTTTCTTTGCTGAGATAAGACTAGAGCTTGGGTTTCCTTTTTCCTAATTCAAATGTTACCCATTTTACCACACAGTCTCTCCCAGACTTTAAAACAAATCATGTGCTATTCTAGCTTATGCTAAATATAGGAATTAATATTTCATTAAATGTACTTTGCATCACTATTCAATTATCTATACTGATGAAAGAGATTAAATCATCACCTTTCTTAAGGACATTTCTTAAAGCATATGTCCTGTTTGTTTATCTTGAGTTGTTTCTTGTGTATATTCTTGAATTATATATTACAAGATTTTCATTCCCTTGTGTTTCATAATTACAGTCCCACAGTGCCATCCACTGAATTTCTAAATAATGTTTTATGCTACATTTTCTCTAGAATGGTTCTAAGTTAATCAAGAAACAAATGTTTATTTTTCATGGGGTTCAAAAGATAGTGTTAATTGGGATTTTTGTTTTCTTTTGTATAAAATCTAATAAAATTATAGTTATTGTTTAAGTTTGGCTAAAACAAGTTTTTGTAACAAGATTTTATAATATAGGTTGACATCTATGTAAATAACATGACATTTAAATTATAATTTATTATTTAATAGTAACAATTATGTTTTAATATTTTTAAGAAATAGTTAGATAAATAAGGCACATACTAGTATTTTCTTTTCCTGATTAAGCTGGCCATATAAATAATATTTCCTTAAAATGTTTTGTCTAAATATATTTATTTTTTTTATCTTACTAGAACACCATAATTACTTATTTGAATTTTACATGTATCTGCAGCCATAGATAAGATGATTAGTGTTAAACTACCTATTTCCATTTTAAATAAATGGTAAGAGAGCATACACAGTTCAAATACTGTAAGCAGGGAGAATCAATGGCAATAAGGAATCATTTAACAGTTAAAGTATAGCTTATCAGAAATAGTCAAAGAACAACTAAACATTGCATAGCTTTATAAATTAAATTATGTTATTTTAAATTGAGAAACTTATTTTGTTTTTCTTAGAATGACAATGTGAGTAGATATAAATTGATTATTTTGGGGATGACTGTAGACACCTGACAGATATTCCATAGTACCTGTTATACTTCTATTTGCACAATTTGAGTTTTCTTTTTTTTCCACTAGGTGCTGTGAAATGGCATGCTTTATAGAGAATACATTGACAGCATTTTCAGGAAATCTAAGTCTAGGA